CTAGGGGTTTTGAGAGGTTGGAAAGAATTGAGATTGGGCGGAAATCTTCGGGTGAGGTCGGATTAGAATTTTTATTCAAAGGAAGGACAATATCTTTTTCCCAAGATGTAGGGAATACTGAATTCTGAAGGGAGAAATTGTAGATTAAAAGAAGAACTGGGAGGATTTCAAGAAAACATAATTTTATTAATTTGAGAGGGATGCCATCGGGTCCTATGGAATTGATGTGGGATTTCATTACAGCGGTTAAAATATCTGTGGGAGAAAGGTCGGAAAAATAAAAGTTATTGTCGTCAAATGGTATCTCTATAGGAAAGCCGGAACTGGAGGATAAAGGAGAGGTATAAGCAACAGATATAAAATGCGAGTTTAGATCATCAGAGGATATTGAAAAGGCTGTTGTAGGGGATCTGGAAGGATCACAAAGGGAAAGTTTACGAAGCAGTCGCCATTTTGATTTTATGTTAGGAGTTGAGGAAAGGGCTTCGTGGAAGTAGAGGGATTTCGCACGCCGGATCCTTGTTTGTGTCAAGTTGCGAAGCCTGAACGCTTGGTAGTCATCTGCAAGCCTAGTTCGTCTGAAGCGTCTACGAGCAGCGTCGCGTCTCTTCTGCAGTTCTTTAATTTCCTGACACATCCAAGGAGTAGGCCGGTCACGAAATGTAGAGGTTTTGAGAGGGGCATGGGTATTGAGGATATTTAGGAGATTGGTAGTAAGAATATCAACCATAGAGTCGATGGAAGTGCAAGAATATATTTTATTCCAATCTAGGATTTTCAGGTCAGGTAATATTTGTTCTCGTGTAAGGGAATCTAGATGGCGGAAGGTGATAGTTCGAGGCTGAATAGGAAGAGTTCGGATATTATATATTATTTGTATCAGATCATGAGATGACAAAAAGGATACTGGCAGTTGGGAAGAGGAGAGGAGGTTTTGTGCAGAGTCTATAATATAGAAATCTAGCCAAGTGTCGGACCTGCTAGTATGGTGAGTGGGAGAAAAAGGAACGATAAAGAGGTGAAGGGAGTAGAATAGGTCTTCTAGATAGGATTTGTCATTGGAGTTAGATAGGAAATTGGTATTGAGGTCACCTGAGATGATTATTCTGGGATAGAGGGGAACGAAATTCAATAGGGTAGATTCAAAGGACGTGTGAAATGGAACAAGAGGAGGACGGTATACCACAGCGTAGAGGAGAGGCGAAGTATTACAAAGGATTTCAACTAATAGGTATTCAATTTGTGAGTGGTTGGAAGATGGGGATAACTCGAGGATTCGGGCCTTCAGGCTATTGTGGACAAATATGGCTACTCCACCGCCAGTCCGGCTTACCCGGTCATGACGGAAGAGGTTGTAATTAGGCAAGGAGACAGAAGAGGAGGGGATATAAGGTTTGAGCCAAGTTTCGGATATCACTATAATATGGTAAAAATTTTGAGTGAAATATTGCAGGAATTCGTCTTAATGGGCAGAAAGGGATTGAGAGTTAACATGGCAGGTGATTAGGGTACTAGACATGAGAAGGATTTGGAAGGAAACAGTCAGAGTTCGTTAGATAAACACTAAAACAAACAAAAAATACAGAAAAGCAATTACAATTAATGAAAATGAGAAAAAAGAGAGTGTTTAAAGAAACAAAAAATAGAAAGCATATAGTTAATAATACATAGGCTAATATGTGAAAATGAAAAAATACAACTGAAAGCGAAAATCTTTCTTTGAAGGGAATTTTGTCAATAGTTATTTTGATAAGGATGAAGGGTAGATGAATTTCTATATGTATGTATTCGTATATATGTATGTGTGTATGCATATCATATATATATATATATATATATATATATATATATATATATATATATATATATATATGATATGTATTAATTTCAATTATTCTCCATTATTACTCAACAGTTATTATCTTCATTTTATTGCCTCTCCAGAATTTCTATTAACTATTTAAATTTATTATAAATTTATTTATAATTTATAAATTATTTATTATAAATTTATTTTATATTAAACTATTTTATTGCCTCTTTCTATCAACTTTCGTTTTATTATCCATAATATTTATGAATAATATATCTCTCGTCCTTATTTACGCTTCTGGTACTTTAGTTCAAACTTCGTCAGATAAGCGTTGGAAATGACGCCACTATACATCCCTTCTATCCACCCCCCTCCTTCGATTTACCTCATAGCAGTCAGGTGTGTTTTTTTTCTTTTCTTTCTTATTCTCTTTCTTATTTCAATCTTCTCAGTTTCTTTCCTCCTTCCTTTCATTCCTTTTCTCTGTTTTAACTCTTTATTATATTATACGTTGTCTGTACATCTTGATAGACTTTACAACATCTCAATTTTCTATCTAACTATTCTATTCACAATATCTTAATTTTACTATTTATTTCCATTTCTTATATAACTTCATATTTTTCTGTTTTACATTTGATTCTAAGATTCCCATTTCAATACTTATGTCACCTTTTTGATTATTTTTACTTCATCATTTCACACTTTGTACCGGTTATTATTATTTATCTCTTGTTCTTACTATTGTCATTTTCTAACAACTGCATTTTACTGTAATTTTTATGTTTCTCATACCTTGTTATCTGGTTCTTTTCTTAGCCCTGATGATGGCCTGAACTTCAGGTCGAAACGTCGGCAAATGACAAAATAAATATTATCATTTATTTTTGTCTTCTTATTCGACTGATCACCCCAACTATTCTTCTCTTCATATTAAAGGTACTTTAGAGGAAGACGTATATGAACATTGGGCATTTAAGCCCTGTAAAGTGACATCAACGGGGATAAGACCTAAATGATATTCAAGACCACTTAATTATACAATAATACACCTAGTTTAATCAAAATCATTAGAGCCGTTTTTGAGAAAATTGTAAAAATGTGTTTCAGCGTTGATATAAAGTGGCACTTCCGGTTAGCCGATTTTAAGGAAAAAGTTGCTAGGATATCTAAGGCATATACCTATCTTAAATAGGCAATGTCAGTTTTGTACAACTTTTTGTTTTTGAGCTAGAGTGTTCACATACACAAAGGCACACAGACCATTTTTCAGGACTTGGTTATTTGGACTCAGGGTACATCAAAACATGTATTTCCATTGAAAACTCAAATTCAAAAATTTTCACGATAGCAATACTTACCCTTACTATATATTACATATATAGGTAAGTGAAAGTAAAAAATATTTCTAAAAAACTATTACAATTACAATTGTACTCACCGTTTCATCTTGAAATTGGGATCTCTTCATGAGCTACTGAGGATGTACTCTCTTACTAACAAGGAGGGGATACAGTCCATGGGTCACTGATTTCAACCAAATATTTTTCGGTGATACTAAATTGAAAATTAAAGTTCCAATGTTCCCTAGGAGCCAAAAAAAAATTATTTACATAATTTCTAACAAAATATATGTTATAGGTGATAAATAGTCATGATGCAGTCATTTTTAAGGTTTTTACTGGTGCCGACATTTCGATCAAAGCATGTGGATCATTATCTGGGTGTGTTTCGAACACTGAAGGTGTCCAAGTGCATTTTTGTTTTTGTGATTGTTGCCGAAATTGCGGCTAGGCGAAAATTTTAATTTTTCGATTACTATACAAATTTGTATGTAAAGGTTTTTTGAGGTTTAAAAAATCAATATCAACTTTGTTTCTCACTACAAATTTATTTACTCTAGAAACCAGACCAGTTTTTAATAAATATTATATTATAGCTATTGTATGGGCACAATGCAGAACAACCGTTTTAGCAATGTGGGAGTTAATATTTTTTTAGGGAGAAACAAAGTTGATGTTCCTTTTTTGCACCTCAAAAAACCCTTAAATACAAATTTTTATGGCAATCGGAAAATTGAAATTTTCTGTACGAAATTTTTGCCTAAATTCTGAACCCTTCAAAATTTTGCAAACAACCACAAAACTTGTGATAACTTTAGAACGGCTTCACAGATCTACATGAAAATTAATAGGAATTTAGGCCTCAGTATGCTACACAAAATGGTATAAACCTGACCTTTGAAAACACCTTAAAAATAAAAATATAATATAAAAATGGGTTAGAAGATTTTCTAAAGTTCTAGCTTGAAAAAAAATTGAAATTTAAAAGTTATCAGTGTCAGTTAGAAGTGCATTAATTCAGCTTTCCAAGATTTATTTAAAAGTTGAATTTGAAGAAAATCCTAAGGAGTCTGAATGCTTTAATTAATGGCCGGAAAAAAATTCATCCTAGAAAATCAAGTTCTAAAGGTATTTTTTTATTTATATAACAATTCGTCATTAACAGTTTTAAGGGCTCTAAAAAGGAATTTAATCATTTTTTTTCTAACAAAAATTTACTTGGCATACTTTACTGGAAGCACTTACTGGTTTTGTAATTTATGACACATTATAACTCATTTAATATGTTAATATTTTTTTCTTATTCCGCACAAAAAAAAAAGATTGATATTTAGTAACCCAATAATCTGTCCAAAAATAAATAACATACATTTTGTTAGAAATTATATAAAATATTTTTCAATGTAGTGTCACCAAAAAAAATTTGTTTGAAATTGGTGACCCATAGACTGTATTCTCTCATAAGTTTCTTGATCATTTATAAGCAATAAACGATGGAGATATTTATATAGAGCGTATTAATATAATCAAATCATTAAATTCAATTATCTTCAGATTCAAATGTTTGTAACATACCATGTTTTTTACACTTAACTCTTTAATTTTTTAATGTAACCTATTTAAATGAAATGTATACATCGGGTCAAATTTTGATGTATTTTGTACGTATAAAAAATGCAAAATTAGGAATATTTTACTGGTACTAAATTTTAAAGATTATCACACACACTGATAGAATCTGGAAAAGTTTAATAAATTATATTTATTTTTTGTATTGTATTTTGTTATTTATGTATTCAGATTAATAAATAATGGTATTAACGTAAATAATTTGGCTTTTGTAGGAGTGGAAATTTACAAATTGCCAACTCATATATGGCTTTAGCTGAAAAATTTGCTACATCTGGTTTGTTTATTGAAAATGCTAAGTTGCACAGAGCCAAGATGGAAACTAACACTGCAGTGTTAATCTTAATGCAAGGCATAAAGGAATTTATTCCTGATAATAGTACACTTATCAATTTAGAATTAAAAAATCGCATCTTATGTGCTAAGGTATTTATTCATCACTGAAGTTATTAATTTTAGTTAGGATAAGTTTCTTAGCATTAATAAAATTCAGATAAATATTGATCTTCTTAACTTATCAAATATAGATTAATTTTTTATTTGCATTATTTATTATAAAATATTTGTTATTATCGTAAGCACGTGAAATGCTAGGACAAAAATATAAAATTAACTGCAAGCAAAATGAAGAAAACATGGAAGGTCTGCCAACATAATACAATTTCTGATAACTTTGCTTTGTATAGAAAAGCCAGAAATAGGGTTAAAACAGCTAAAAGGACATTCTGGGAAAAATTCAGGATGAAAACCTTGGAAAATATCAAACCGTTTTGGCCCATTGTGAGATTATGAGATTCTTGAATGCCAAAACAATAAAGCCAGTGAGAAATGTAAAAAACATTAACAACAAACTATTTACAGAACCAAGTAAAATCTTAGATGGCGTAGACACTATGTCGCCTTGCTAATAAAATAACCACTGAAAAACAAAGGGAATGGACACTTTATGAAGCTAGAGAAAAAGCTATTATTGAAGGGAAAATAAAGTTTCTTAAACAAATCAAAACAAGCAAGGCTGCAATCAAAGCCAACATTATCCTGGATTTCATGAAGAATAGTGGCCTTGAGTTCCTTAAAGCACTATAAGGGTTGTTTCAGATTATCTTAAAACTTCATTGTTATAATCAAAATCAATTGGATTGAATTATTTTTCTATGTATTTATAATATAAATTGGGTATTGATAACTGCCTTGTTGGTTTAAATCCTTCCTCTCAGATTAGTCACAGTATATTTACCATATATATTTATTATATATTATTTATTATATATACGTATATTTACCATCAAAAATCTTGGTATAACCATTGATCAAACGCTTTCTTGGAAAAATCATATATCCAATATTTCCCGCCGTACCATTTCCATCCTAAAACGTCTAAATTACTCCCGTCACCTATTTCCTTTTGAAACCCGTAGGCTCCTAGTCACTTCCTTAATTTTTCCCCACTTTGACTATTGCTGTACGGTATATGGGGGCCTCTCTGGGGATCTCGAGGCGAAACTAAAACGTTTGATAAATTGCTTTGTACGATTCATCTTCGGGATCCCAAGGGACGCCTCTGTTTCCCATTTGTATGCGGAGTTAAAGTGGCTTTATCCTTCCTACCATCTATTATCTAATATATGGTAAGTATAATCGTAATATATTATCTAGTATAATCGTAAGTATTTCCTAGCATCCTTCCTCTTTCAAGTCATCCAATCCCACCGTCCCTCATACATCTCCGAGCTCCTTCAATTCAAATCCTCTGTTTGTTCCCGCAATACTCGTTCCCAGTCTGCTGATTTATACATAAGAGCCCACGGAACTGCTGCTTTCGACAAATCATTCATTGTCCTATCCTCATCCCTATGAACTCCATCCCTTCCCACATCTGTCAATCCAATACCCTTCCTACCTTTAAATCCCACCTGTTCAATCATTTCTTATCCATCCAGTCCCCATAAAATCGTAAATAGATACTACTGTAAATATGTACATAAATTATTAGTTTGTTCTTCATTGTTTGTACTCCAATTTTTTTTATCTATTTTTTTATTTGTTTTATTATCAACTGATCAAAATTGGAAAGCAACTTATATGTATATGTGTGTATATATATATTTTATTTTTTTTCACCAAGACTGTGCAATTACTCTGAATTTTTTTTTATTTGATCGGGGTATTCGGAATATGAGAGCTCTACGGCAGTCGCTTCGAGAAAATTCGTTTGAGGAATGGACCAATTGCAGGTGGCAGGGCATTGGAGTTCGCCATTTTAAAGAGACCCCGAAAGCCAATAAATACATGTATGATAAGCAAGTACTTTCTGGGTCTGAATGGTCAAATGCCCTGAAACTAAATATTAATTATGCTCCCCTGCGTGGAGTCCCAGGTGTCAGCGGACAGGTAAGAGAAGTTGGGTCCCTCTGTCGCAAATGCGACAGAGAGCCAGAAACACCAGCACATGTGCTTGGAAAATGCCCCAACAACTCCCTCCTTATAACACGCCGTCACCACAGAGTCAAGCATGAACTGATGAGGCTCCTTGAAGAGAGAGAATACGCCTGTTTCGAGGAAGTATATTGTATAGATACGGATGGATCCACCCGATATGCCGACATTGTAGCATTCCCTAAGACGGGAAAGTCGGCGATGATTTTGGATCCGACCGTGAGATATGAGACCAACGACCTCGATCAGGCAGAAAAAGTGGAAAGGGAGAAAAAACAGATATATGAGAAATGCATCCCTTTCCTTAGTGAAAAGTTCCGCGAGAGTTTCGGGCCGAGAGAGTTCCACGTGAGAGGCCTTTGGTTCGGAGCTCGCGGAACGATACCAGACTCAACAAGGAGCTTCATGGAGGGCCTTGGTGTCGACATAAAGGACGTGGCAAGGTTGGCAGAGAGTATAATCCTCGACTCCCTGGGAATCATCCACCACCATGTGCATGGGAGCGGATAGGGGGAGAGTTTGCTCGCGGGGGGGAGGCATGCGTGTGTTACAGCATTTTTTATATTATTATTTATTGAACACGTCCACTGTACTTTATGAATTTTTTTATGTATTAGGTTAGAAAGAGAGAGGAGGGAATGTGAGTGGGAACATGTATAGGGGGAGAGAAGGAAGAGAAAGGGTACAGAATGATAATAAATGAATGAAAGAAATAGTAAAAATTATAAAAAAAAAAAAAAAAAAATAATATATATATATACGTATAAAATATTGTATACTATGCTCATACATATTGTTAATTCTATAATTGTATAATAATTTTAAATAATGTCTGTAGTGATTAATAAGTATGCTGTGTTGTTAGCAACCCAATGTAATTGGGCAGCACCATTTTATTTTATTTTATGATAATAAAGTGATTCTCTCTCTGAGGCTCCTTAGCCCACATTTCTGTCTTCCTGTATTATTCTAAAGGGACTCGTCCCAGAATAAATAAAGTATTATTATTATTATTATATAGTCAACCTCCAACCAAGAAACTTTCCTTATCCTATGTTGTCCTTCAGGGTTCACCTCTATTCCCTGCCTTGTTTACTATAGATATTAATCACCTTTCTCTCTTCTTTACTGATAATATCCAGATATATATGTCCTTGCCTTTCAATTGATTATCAGTTACAAAATAACTGTAAGAAGACTTGAATTGCTTAAGTCATTAGACAGTAACTAACAAGTCAAACTTTAATGCTGAGGAGATAAAGCCAATTTTAACCTGTTTTTCTCTTCTTAAAACTGAGCAATGCTCATATTCCAACCCTGTTCCTAAATAATAATGGATGATTATTTTATTGGTGGATCAAATTCTATCCAACCATCCAAAACCTTGGAATCATCTTACAGCAATTTTTTTCCTGGAAAAACCATGTCTCTCATATTTCCTGTCACACTCTTCCCACCTTTAAGTGACTAAATTACCTTTGTCAGCTATTTCCATTTGAAACCAGTTGGCTACTAGCTACTTCCTTGATATTCCCCTCTTTTACTACTGCATGGTACATGCAGTTGTGTCTGAGGATCTTGAGACAAAATTAAAACATTTGATAAGTTTATTTATACAATTCATCTTTGGGTTCCTATAAACGCCTCTGTATTTCATGTTATTAAGGGTTGAAGCTATATTCTTCCTACTATTGTATTTCCTTGCACCTTTCCTCTACTAAATCATCCCGCCCTGTCTTACTTCTTTTTGTAAAATAACTGTAATAAGTAATAGTATGAATTATTGGAGGAAGTTAGTCGACTGTTCTACATATCACCCCAGAAATAATGTGATTGTTTTCTGAATATTTATTGCCAATGTTTTACTTTTCATTGATTTATTTTATAATTTTAGGCAAAGAATTTAATTGCTCGCTATAATGAAGAAAGTGTACATGTTGATTTTGGTGAAGTTTATGAAAACTATATTGATGCAGCTAATACTTTTCCTTCTGAAAAAAATTTTTTTTACTTAGCTCAGTGCTTATATAATGTTCATATATCAGAAACTCAACCTGATTCCAAATCAGCTAAAAGGTATTTATTTTAAGTATTTAATATTTAGTTGCAACCTAAGTGTAAAAGCAAGCATTTTCAACTATATTTTTAGCAGTGATATTTTATGCATTAACCCTTTAACTGCCAAGGACGTCTATAGCCGGCACAACAGAATGTGCCCTTGCTGCTAATGACGGCTATAGCTGACACACCCCACTCCTGCCCTCAGTGCTAACGTCGGCTATAGCCGTCCCACTGCTTTTCTCTCCATTCGCTAATATAGAGTATAGCCAGCATGATCTTGCTTTATTCTGTTGGTTTCCTAGTGAAATAAAGCTTCTAACTAAAGTCTGCATATGGCATAGAGATTTTCTTGTAGAATTCATGACTCATTAAGGATGAATACCTGCTCCGGCTTTTCTCTGGCTGTCTCAACCATTTTCATTCTTGTCTTTGCATTTTGTGCAAAACAACCATGTTTTCAACTGCTCTGAATTTATATAAATTTTATTTAGTTTAGTCTAGTTATTTTAGCTTAGTGTTAGGCGTTAGGTGTCGTGAATTGGAGGAGTGCTGTCAAGGACCGTGGCAGATGGAGGGATATAGTCCAGAAGGCCAAGGGTCACAAAAACTTGTAGAGCCGGGGAGTAAGTATTTTAACTAGAAATTAGATCAAATAGGATTGCTTTAGTTAGTTACTTGTACATATAGAATTAATTATTATAGTTATAAGTTAGTCGTTTATTTTTTCTTGGTATCCTTCAACAATAGCCCTTTTATCCCTGTCGAACAAATCCGATACTTAGGACTCCCCCTAGACAAACGACTCACTTGGAACCCCCATACCAGACTGAAATGATTAGAAACCGCCCGACATTTTCGACTACTGCAGCGAAACAAAAGTAGAATGTCGCAATTTGTAAGATTGTTCTTTACATTGACAAATTCTTCCAAGAATACCATATAAAATTAAATTATTAAATAAATATTTAATATTAAAAAAATTCATAAAAAAAAGAAAAAAAAACTACAGCCTGAATCAAAAAGGAGAATGGGAACAATAAAATAAGGTTAACAGATAGTAAGACCTATTTGGACTTACGAAATTGAGCTTTGGGGCTCCACTAAACCATCAAATTTCTCTCGTATCCAATCCTTCGTAAGAGCCAGTAATAAAGAGTGGAAAACAACTAAAAAGTATGTAGTACGGACCAGTAGTCAGATAGCTATCTTCCTTAGCACTGTGATAGATGTAAAGCTTGTTACTCACGGCAACGAGAATGTAGTAGAGTACTTTTTTTTTCTTGATTAACCCCTACCTCACGATTTATGGCTAATGGTGGAGGAGGAAGGAGTTGTTCTTGAGTTGCAATGAAACAAAACCCATTCTAACATAAATGGGAAGGTTTAGATTTATTCTGTGGGTTCGTTCTAGTACGGTACTACTTATACTGGTGTCCAGCGATTGGGAAAACCGGGAATTGTACAGGGATTTCTCAAACCAGGAAATGTAAGGTTATTTGGTTTTTTCTATTATGAAAATACCATCTATCTCTATGGGAGCCTGGTTGGGAAAACAGGTATAGGATGCCAGGTGACATGTGCATGGATTTCAACATCTATTAATGTTTGCAAATTTAATATCTATTATAAATTTGTGTAAAAATAAATATAGGATAAATAAAGAATATCTCATCATAATTTTATGGGTGTATTATTGTGTTCATCATCTCTCCTTTAAATACAAGTATATGCATTTTTAAAGACATGTATTTTGATGCAAATATTTATGTATTATAAATATTTATGTATATTGATGTATTAAGATCTGTAAATTTGCCATTATATTAATAATTAATTTTTAATTAAAAATATTTATATATACTTTTATGTGAATATAACAATATTCAATAACAACAAATAAATAAATATAACAATATACACCTGTAAATAAGACTATATTTGTATTTATAGGAGTGAATACGATAGCAAATATATATATATATATATATATATATATATATATATATATATATATATATATATATATATTTAGACTTGTAAATTTGAAAAAATAAATAAAGATTTTTTGAATAAGGAAGAATATTTATCCATAATTTATATGAATATAACAATATTCTAAATCACATATTTAAATACAATCATGGGAGAATGAGGAGAAAAATATGCCCAACTCTGATGTGTGAGAGTGGGTTTTACTCGATTGAGTTTCTTGTTCTGCCATTTATATCGGGCAGACCGGAAGGAACCAAAAAAAAAGTATGAAGGAATATTTCCTTGTGTCAGGCCATACATCCCATTTCAAGGAGCATTTTGGAAATTGTTTGTTTCCACTTCAAAATAGTATGGTAAAACTCATACACACTGCATTTAAAGGGAAAAAAATGGATTTTCTAGAAAAAAAAAAAATATCAAGAAAAACCCTGATAAATAATATATTTAAAATAAGCTCGGTGTTTCTGCTAACATAGGAAAGACGAATCTGCCAATGTAAAATGTCAGAGTATTTAAATAATGAATAATGTGTAAACACATCTGTTTAGGCAACTGTCACAATTATGGCAAAATAACTCTCATGAGTCTCAATAAGGCAACATTCTAAATTTTATGGTAATATTCTAATTTTTAAGCAATGGACTGTATCTCAAGGGGTTGGTAGGTTAATGATTGTGCAAAAAAAAAAACAGCTTACCGTCTATATGCCAGCCCACATCTTTTTTACTTGAAGAGCTCTCCGTAGGTGGCTTCTCGTCCTGGAGATGGTGTTTGGCCTGTGGGCGCCAGTGGAATGGGCAGATACAACCAGTTCCTCTCAGGGCTTAAGTGTTATCTTTATCTTTTAGATGTGCCCCCATCACTCACTGTAACGCGGGCTATTTAAACGAAAACTCCTCTTTGGCACAACCATATCCCTCACCGTGAAATATCTCATTTCACAAACAAAAAAAAAAGAAAAATCAAACTCAGAAATTGGTGATTACCGGGCAAGGCACAAACGAGAGGAAAATTGCTTGGTTTACAATTAACGTAAAATAAAATGATTCCTCATTAAATTTTTTTTTTTTTTTTTATTGGTGATATTTACAACTGTATTACAAGTAAAAATACATTCAGTAAATGTGAACAAAGGAATAAAATAGCATGACATCACATGTTGAGAAACTACCCATTGGTAGCACTCTAAAAATGTATTTACAAAAGGAGATCTCGAGGCCATCTTCTTTTCAGACGCCTCTAAGGGTTGTCAGGGATCGAAGAGGAAGCAAGGTTAGAAACGAGAGGGTTTGGATGGTTCTGAAGTTTGTTATGGAAGGATAGGTATCTGGATTGGGCCAAGTCAGAAACATAAGGAACATTAAGGTCGTTATGGATGATTTTGTTTGTGACAAAGTAAGGAGCAGTGAGGATTTTACGAAGGATTTTGGATTGTAAGGATTGAATACGAGAGGAATTCGATGGCTTAGTGGAGCCCCAGAGCTCAACTCCGTAAGTCCAAATAGGTCTTATTGTAGTCATGTATATGAGTCTTTTGTAATTGACTGGGAGGTTAGAGCGTTTATCTAGTAAGTGCTGGAGTAGTCGGAAACGTCGAGCTGTTTCTTGTCGTTTCAGTCTGGTATGAGGATTCCAAGTTAGACGTTTGTCTAAGTGGAGTCCAAGGTATCGAATTTGTTCAACAGGAATAAGTGGGGTATTATTAAAGGATACTGTAGGACAAGAGGACATAGGTTTACGACGAAGGGTAAAGGTGATTTGATGGGATTTATTGGAATTTATTTTTATTCTCCAGTTTTGACACCATTCTTCAAGGTTTGTGATGTGTGATTGAAGGGTTTGGGATGCAATTGTTGGGTCGTTATTAACTGATAGGACACATGTATCATCGGCGTACGTGGTAATGACTGTGTTAGGATGGGTTGGGATATCAGCTGTATAAACTGTATAAAGGATAGGACCTAGGATACTACCTTGAGGAACACCAGCGGACTGGGAAAAAAGGGATGAATAGGCATTATTATGATTTACTTTGAAGGATCTATCAGTAAGATAGGAACGGATAATGAGGAAGTATGTAGGGTGTAAGAATTTACGGAGTTTGTAAAGCAGTCCTGGGTGCCAGACTCTATCAAAAGCCCTCATTAAATTTAAACCAAAAAAAACATACATATCAATAAAAGGTTTCTCCAGAAGGGAGAGGCACTAACTTGTGCACCGGTCGCACTAAAGTGGCTGTAGCAGTCCTTAATTTTACAATCCTAACTACACTGTCGAGCCCTGAAAGTGTGTCTATTATCCTAGCAAGCCGCCAGTCCTGCAGTGGAACATCTTTTTCATGCAGAATTACAAGGGTTCCCTCCTTTAAATTTTCCCTATCAGTATACCACTTGTTACGACGTATCAGATTATGAAGGTATTTATTATACCAACTCTTCCAAAAATTACAAAGTGTCTTGGAAATCATCTCCCAACGACTTGTCAAAGGAAACACAGGTGTGTCTTCTTGTTCTGGTCTGGCTATGAGGGGTTGACCTATAAGAAAGTGTCCTGGTGTAAGGTAATCCAGGTTACCCAATGGCTTCAATCTACATCCCACCCTCAGAGCTCCATCCTTATCCAAAAATGGCATGAGCCTGTTTAAGGAACCCTTATATGGTTTGCCACCTTCAAGACAATCAATTAATTCAGAAAAGGATTTATTCTGAATGAGTCTGACATAAATCATCAAGGAATCCTTAAGATGGTCCGCAGTCAAGGTTCCAGCAGCAAAATCATCTTGCTCCTTATCTCGGCAATATTTAATAAATTTTAAAATGAAAGAAAAAACTCTTTGCAACTTTAAAAGGTTCGAATATTTCTCCAGGCAAATCAAAAAAATCGTTAGGTTTTTCAGCCTCTAAAAGAGATATTGTTTTTAACTCAGGCAGAACTGATGGAGGTTCAATGTGAGAAATATGCCAGTCAGAAGGAGGTAACGGAATAAATGCTCATGTGAAAGTATCTGGTGTGGTGTGAGGCCT